CCAGAACTCTTTGCGAAGACTATTCATGGTGTGAGTAATACCAGAATGCGCGTTCTGTAAATGGAAGTGCATTACGATTAAGTTGGTAACAAAGTGCTTATTAGGAAGTATGAGAGGATGTTTGCTTTCAAAAGGCAAGCACGATAGCTGAAGTCGTCCTCCTACCCTAATCATGTTGTCTATTACGAAGGGATTAAGATTTTTTATCGGGCTATTGCGCGTAATGTTACCTCTCATCCTTATTCGAAACAAATCCATCTAATTTCTTCGGTCTTTCTCGAGTTTCATATTTGTAGCCACGCTCTTCATCATGCTGTATTTGCCTTAGTGCTTCCATCTACATAGGGAATGAGACCATTTGAACCAATTTGATTAAATCCTGTTTCGCGCTATCGATTTCTTCCAGTCTCAACCTATCATAAACTAATGGTCTTCTGTCTAACTTCATCCTCATATTACAGGCAAACCATTTACATAGAGCGATTATACTCATCATTCTGAATCATGTCTTACAATTACTAAATCGATTCAAAATCAGGTCTAAGCGACTCTTCGCTGATGTCTCACCCAGTTCTTCTATACACAAGTGAGCTAAAACGTGTTTCTCTTCTTCGGGTGGAGTTGGCCAATTACTTTCGTCTTGTCATAAAAATTTCCGTCCATGAAACCACTCATTTAGTTTGATGCTATTTTCTAACGGCAAACCACGTGAAGCATAATCCGCAGTGTTGTGCTTACCTTTCACATATCTCCATAGTCTTACCGTAGACAGTTCGTGAATCGTTGCTAACCTTGTGTTCACGAATCTCTCAAATCTTTTGATTGTATTTCTTATGTAATGATATACAATTAATGAATCCGTCCAATAAGTAACAGAGGAGATAGGGATACGCAGTTGTTGTTCCACATGTTTTCCAATCTTAGCACAGAGTACGGCCGCCGTTAATTCGATTCTAGGCATAGTGACAAGTCTTAGATGAGCAGCTCTAGATTTAGCTAGCAGAAATTAGCAATTAATCTGACCGGAAGTCCCTTCATAACGAATATACGTAACAGCACCATACGCAAGCTCTGAAGCATCGGCAAAACAATGAATTTGAGTGGATAATAGTTCAAACCTTGGTTTCAGACATCTCGTTATTCTTAAGTGACCCAACTCCTTTATATGTCTACACCAAATATTCCACTTCGCTAGACCATCTATTGGTAGCTCTGCATCCCAGGCATGTTCATGCCGACAAGTGTCTTGTAGGATTATTTTAGCTGGTAGTATTACTGGGGCTACAAACACAATAGGATCAAATATAGATGCCACGTACGATAAAATATTTCTTCTGGTTAGGTTTCCATGAAACTCGTGAACTTTGAAATTATATAATCTGTTCTGGTGTTCAACTCTAACCCCAGCGTTCGTTTACTCATCTCGTTTGATTCGCAGACGGTAATGTTTCCTTCTGTACGATCTTCCTCTGGAATGAACTCCAGCACTTCAAGGCTGTTGCTCGTCCATTTAGTTAATTTAAATCCTCCCAGACTTAGGATTCATCTGAAATACGAATAAGTCAGTTTAGCTTCTTCTATAGTATCCACGCTTATCAATAAATCATCCACATAGAACGGTTCCTTAGCTGCTTGCGTAACAACTTTTGGAAATTTATCTTGGTTATCGGAAATTGTTTTCTGCAAGGCAAACGTGGCGCAACATAGTGATGAGGTTGCTCCGAACAGATGGACTTTCATTCTATAGACTTCTGTCTCCTTTTCTAAATTTACACTTGGCCACCACAAATACCTAAGAGCATCTCGATCGTGCGCCGGGACCATTACTTGATGGAACATGGCTTCAATGTCTTCCGTAAGGCCTATTGATCGTTGCCGAAACCTGATGAAAACGTCTACCAAGTTGCTGACTAGATCAGGCCCGGTATAAAGATTTTATTTAGAGACGTCCCAGCATACTGAGCCGCACAATCGAACACTATTCTTAACTTGTTTTGCTTCATGGGATGAAAGACAGGGTGATGAGAAAGATACCAGATTCGTCCATTAGAGTCGTTATCGTCAACCTTCGCGGCATAATCTCTTTCTATATATCGTGTCATAGTGTCCACATAGTCTTGGAACAGCTTCGCATCCCTAACAAGTCTACCTCTCAAACAACTGAGTCTATGTTCTGCTAATTTCTTATTATTAGGTATCTTGTGTTTGTGCCTCCAAAGCAGAGCTATTTGGTAGTGCCCATTTAACGTTTGCACTGAGCTTGAAATAGCGTTGAATGCTATACGATCTTCCACAGACATAGATGGGGTATGATTAAATGGATGTTTGAATTCAGTTGAGTATAATTGTTCAAACTTTTCTTCTAGTTCCTCCTCAGCCGAGAGGTGATTAAGTACACGGTTGTTATCACTGAATTCCCCGTAAGGACCGAACAGCGTCCAACCCAATAAAGTCCTCACAGCAGACGGTTCATTTGTCTTTCCGGTTCTCATCTCTTTCGTCTCGTGTACTCTCGGTGCATTACACCCGACCAACAGTTTAACGTTCTCATCTTCTACTCTCGGAAAACTTACGTCCTTTAAATAGGACCAGGATGCCATTTGACGTACCGTTGGCACAGTTCTGTGAACTGCCGGTAGTTTTCTGACTGTCAATACTTTCTGGATCTTAACGGATGATGAGAAGTCTATCGAGTGCAACTCTACATCTACCTCTTTAGATACCAATGACGATTCGTTACTAATGGTCTTTAGAGAAGCCGTTCTCGGCTTTCCTTCGAGGCCTAACTTTTCAGCTAGATCTCCAACTATGAGAGAGGTGTCTGATCCGCTATCTAGAAAGGCGCACGTCTGAATAATTCTCTCACCATTTTTTATCCATACGGGAACTGCGGCAAATGCCACTGACCTCTGTATGCACTTATTTCCTTCCTCCGTACAAATCTGAGTATTAATGTAGGCATCAATGTTAGTATCTCTCCGTTCTTCCCGCTTCTCATGTAACAGAGTATGGTGTCTCCAGCCACATCCTTCAACAGCACATGACCTCGGCGTTCGACGATTTCTTGCTTTCAGACAAACATCATATAACTTATGCTTAAAGACGAATTCTTCCCTTTCTTTAATATTTTTGTCTTTAAACTTCTGGCATTGATCTAAGGGATGATTGCTGGAGCAATCTGGACAAGGTGAACTATGTAAGGAGGTACTGCCATCATTAATGCTTGCATGCGCTACTGTTGTAACTTGCGACAGCTTTCCTTTTCGAAACACCGAAATCTCTTTCGTCAACATTACCGCTGCGGTTGACAAGCAGGCCGTATCTGGTATCAGCTGACTGTTCTTTTACAAATTCACAGAGGTCCTTGAATAAAGGCTCCCTACCCGTCTTGAGAATTCAACACGCTACTTTAACCCATTCTCTCTGTAGGTATGGTGGAAGTTTTAAAAACATGCTTTCGATGGTTTTCGTAGAATTAAGATCGGATAGGTAGTTCATTTGTGTGAGCGTAAGCTCACAGATATACATCTCACGAGCCAACCTTCTTAAACTATTTGGGTCGATCTCCTTAACAGCAGGGATGTTCAACATCTTGTCGATAAATGCACGGGCAACTACGTGTTTCTGACCGAATGCTTCCTCAAGAAGTTCTAACGCTTTACGATAACCTTCTTTTGGTTGACGCAATGTACAATGAACAATGGTAGCCTTGGCTTCATCATCACAATATTCAATCAAATAGTTTAACTTAGATCGAGTTAGGCTTTATATGACTTTAAGTCAGTTTATTATTTTACAACCCCGTTTATGTGAACTTTCGTGTCTGTCAACTGTATCCTAATTGCTTAACATTATATACAAAATGAGTCACCATTCCGTTTACTGAGTAAGCCGTTATTACGACAACAATCCACACCTACTTATCACTATGTCTAGCCAACCGAATATTTGGAATATACACGTTTGGTGTACTAACGTATTGAATTTCCTGTCGCATCATTATCATTAATCGACATCATATATGGGAAGTGAGGAGAAATTGATATTTTGTTAGCATCATTCATTAACGTTCCATCATATTTGAGTTGATAACTAAGACTTAAGAAAACAAGCAAAATGTGATGCTGCTGACAATAACACAAGAAAATGATATCAATCAACTGCCCATATTGGATTAGGTGGTGCGTTATATGCACGCGTTATTTACAGATTGGCAGTAAAATGCTCTAACAATTAAGCGCATTACTCCACTACGTACCAAAGTGGAAAAAAACTTCTGCTCTGAAATATATTACTAGGTAAATATAAAATTAAAACATGGAAAATCAGCTAAGTAACAAATAAAATAAGAATAAACAATCATATCATGCTATCATTGGAAGTATCCATAATAGCACAGAAACATTTTAAGTCAAGGATGAGGGGTGGGTGAGGAGAAACTTTAAAAATGCACAAGACAACATAAATAAAAATATCATTGAAAAGCTTAAAAGATACCTAAACAGAATAATAAGAATAGTAAATAAATTTTTTCTTGTTTATCGTTCATCCCTTTGAATAAATAATCAAACTAAATAAAAGTATTGGGAAAAAAGAGATTATATTACTAACAAACAGTATCAGTAGTTAAAAAAATCAGATGATAAATAGTGAACTTTATGATTAAAAATAACGAATAAGCAAATGCAAAAAACCACTCAAATAATAAATCATACAATTAACGCAATAAAATTATTGTACAGTTTCAAATGGCAGATTATATGAATAACTAGGTAGGTAGATAAATATACAGATAAATAGGAGACTAAAATAGTTTAATGTAGGATAAGAAAACTGTAACGAGCGTACGAACAGATTCAGCCGAATCCATCGTTTTGTCAATTGATCAGAACAAGAATGAAAATACAGGGGAGTGTTTAATTTTTTAAAATAAAGAAAACCGAACGGCAAGTAAATATTATTAAGTATAGCAGGTGATAGAAAAGGAGCTTATTAAAATTCTAATCAACATCGTTGAGGCTTTCTAATCTACTATTATTAGATGAAGAGATAAATGGAGAATCTCCTGGTTGATTGCACCGATGAAAATCTGGCAATGAAGATAACTCTGTGTGGATACTAAGCGGTGGATGGTAGACAATACTTTGCAGATCATTTGAGCTTGGCATTGAAGCTGATAGTCTAGGAGGACTTGGAGATAAACTGACTGAATGATAGCTACTGGAATAGTGGTTTTCATGATGTGAAGTGGTATTATTATTAGGAGAGGCAGGAGGATCTGGAGTCCAGTAACATTCACCTATATTGGGAATTAACAAATCATACAAAACAAGTTGAAACTGAAAATATAAAAACAGATAACACGGTCAAAAAAAGTGTGAATGTTTTGATACAATCGGTCAATCAACAGCAACGTAGAACTTCGTATGTACGGACATCAGTTCAAGTTACCATACTACACTAGCACAGAGATGTGATTGTCAGTTCAAATCCCATAGCAGTAGAGGTAGTAAAAGTATTACCAGTAATTGAAGAGATTAGGGTTCACGGATATTATTCAAGAAGTAGAATCTAATGGAATAAACTTGAAAAGAATAAGATAAAGGTGATGAGGAACTCTGAAGGTTAGGATTTGAATCGATGCACCTGCGCCATTGCAAACGATTTTTAGCCATGTCATTCAGTCTTGACCATCGTTTGTTATCATCCTGCGGGTCCCAACCAGGTAGTCGACACCTACCGACATGACTTAGGCCACTTGTCAGTGACTTCATGCATTTCTGCCATGCTTTGGTCTGACCTCACCTAGCTTTCGTTCAACCTATTCCTAAATCGCAAAACATCGCTTGTCGAGGCAGTCGGCGGTTGGGTACTCGTAACACCACCAACCATCACAACTGATGAAGCTTCAATACTTCACCTGACATCCTTACCTATGACACGTTTCCTAACGACAGCATTGCTTACTCGGTTGTCACAGGATACACGATCTTTTTTTCCAATTAATATCTATGTGTTTTATATTACATAGACTGTAACAAATGTTTAGATACAGCATATGAAATATACAACACATGGATATGAGCGGCAAAAAGCTTCAGGATTTTACTTTTAAAAAGATAGTTACCGATTTTAAAAGAAGCCGCATGAAAGCTAATGTGAATAGGTTCCTGTATCAAAGGGTCAACAAAAAATCTGGAAGAGAATATTCAGTTTGTGGTTTATATCATAGGACGATATAGACTAGACAATTGATAGAAACTAAACAGCACTAAGCAGTTATTTCGTCCTTATGTAAGATTCTTTGAGAGTGCACCCATAGCTTTTAGATCTCGTTGCAATTTAATTACCTTTAGGTCTCCAGACCGTAGCTGCTACCTTGACGTGGTGGTCGGGCTTGCCTATCGTGATGACCCAACCGAGCTATACTGACAGGAAAATATGTTCCTGAAGGTTCTACCATGCCAGGCAGGTCGATTGGAGAACGATGAGACTAAAAGCAGCTACTCAAGGTCTGAGGGCGAAGTCCTACTGCTGACTGTAG